AGTACGAAAGTGCAAGATTTATTTTCATTTGAAGCCTTACGAGCTTGTCTTTTGGCGAAAATCCATCTGCCCCTTGCAATGCCAGTCAAATTACCTGAAGATTTTGCTGCTACTTGTTCCTGCTCCCTGCCAGTTCTGGAAAGCTGCTTTGCTGAAAGATTATTCCTTGCAGCACAGCTTAATTTTCCAGGCAGTCCTTGGAGAAAGTGGCTCCTGGGCTGCTGGTATTACTTGTTCCAACAAGTTTCTTCTGCTCTATCTAATTCTGAGCAGCTTTTGTTGTATGTACCAGCCTGACTTGGTGAACTTGTAAATCGCTTTGGTCTTTGGTTTTTAGAGAGCTAGGATTTTCTTCTTCTGGGCTCCCACTGAAAGATTACAGAAAGGAAAATGTTCTTCCTAAGATACAGCTCCCTGTCTGCCAAGCTTGACGTCTGTGCTCACGTGTACCTTCTGGAAGGGGATTGCAGGGAGATATTTCAGCTCCCTGGCTCTGGAGCAGTTGTTTACTTGCTGGAGCTTAACTTTGCAAAATCTCTGCAACAAAGACTTTTTCCTGAAGCCTTCAGAGCCAAGTGGCAGAGTGAGTGTTGAGACAGGCACTGACAAATGCAGCAGGTGGGGTGTTCTCCCCTTGTAGCTGCATCCCAAAAATGCCATGGCAAGTGATATTTCGGCACAGTTTTAGGCCTGGCTTTGGAACGTGGCCCTGTGCTGGGATGTGACCATCTTCTTTGTGTGCCTCCGAGGCAGTGGGAGTGTATTACAGGCAGCTGCAGTGATTGCATTTTTTTTTTTCTTGTCACTCATTCTTGAGAGAGACTTTATTGTTAAGAAATCTGGTGCCTCTGTGGTTTGTAGTAGAAACTTGACATTTCCCAGGAGAACAGCTCTGGCACTTAGGGAGCAGTGATTGGAAATCCAGGCAAATATGGGCAAGCACAAAGTTTTCAAGCGTTGCTCCTGTTTCCTGTGTCTTCCTCAGCATCGCTTGTGCTTGGCCCCAAGCGCTCTGCTAGCACAGCTCATGCACCACTGCTGCGTGGATGAGCTCCTCCAGGCAGGGTACAAGAGCCTCCTTCTGCTCCTGTCTCATCAGTGCTTAAAGAAAGTACATCACGGGGGATGAGTTCAAGCTTGTTTTTAGTGTGAAGAACAAACTATCCTGAATGTTCTGATCTGATCCGGGTGAAACTTCAGTTTTATGATAGATGACCTCAGTCTTGACTACAAAGCCATATAGTCCCCTGAAAAGGCTGTCACTGGCATTTTGTCTTCTGTATGACCCACTTTGCATTTTCCATAGTATCTTGATGCCTATGGCAGTTGTCCAGAAGACTGACTGGTCAGGATAATTGCTTAGTTGTGCTGCCAGCTCCTGTGGCTGATTCCCCATCCTGAGACCAAAGCACTGTTTGGCACTGGGCAGGGTCCACAGCAGCACTGACGCTGGTGTGTGGGAATGCCTGGTATAATGGCGAGGAGTGTTCCTGTCATTTAAGTAGGGCTGGGAGAAGATTTAATGTTTTGGTAACTGAAATTTAGGAAATAGTTTGTATATGCTGCTAGCCACACTTCCATGGCTGGTCCATGTATCCTAGCTTGTACATACAGTGGTTGAGAGCTAGTGAATGGTCCACCCTTCAGTGTGCAATAAATGTCTCTAGACAAACTTAAATTTTTTGCATAATATGTAATTAATTTCAGAACTGTTTTATCTGAATGTGGTTTACAGGAATCGTCTTTGATCTGTAATGGATGAGAGACAAAAACTGGCATTTTTTTCACTGCGATACTTGACATACAGCCATAAGAACCTCTCTAAGATATCTGAATAAACAGCAATAACCACCCCTCCCTAGTTGTTGAAGAGGTCCCTGAGGATTTTGAGAATTCCTGCCTGTGCCTCTTCCTTCAGGTCATGCTTCCTTATGGTCAAAGATGTTGCAGAGCTAAGACCTTGTGTGGATTGCAGGTGCTCAGACAAACCAGGATCCTCCCACGCTGCTGAAGCTGAGCATCTAAAAAAGTTAACGTCATCTATGTGTTTCTGGTTTGAGTTGCTTAACATCAAGAAAGGAAATATATCAGGGTTGCCTGGGTGACTGAACTCTGTCATTTCCTCTCCTGTCAGGTTTGTCCTGGAGTTCTGTGATTATTTTAGTATAATTTGTCTTCCCCCTTCTCAGTGAGATTTGAGGGTGCTCTCCATATGTTAGGTGTGTTAAATCATTTTAGCAGATGCATTCTTGTGCTGGGGAGCGTGCGGTACGCAAGCGTGAATCTCTTGTGCTGTCTCACAGCACCCAGGCTGATAGATGTGTTGGTTCAGTTGTATTTTGAGACTCTCTGGACTTGAGTCTCCCATATGCAGGTGAGCTCAGTCCTGCAGGTGTGTCACGGCTCCGGGTGCTGCGGCTGCCCTGGTGCACTGCCTCCCAGCCTCTGCAGGCGCGGTGCGAAAGTGACCATTTAGGCATTACGGTTTTGACAGCAGTTAACCCTAATGTAAGAAATGTTTGGGTTTTTTCCTCTGCTTCCAACCACACACTCTCTTCTCTTCCTTAGTTTTTGGTGCTTGACCCCCCACAGTGAGGTAGTTAAAAAACAGGCAGAGATAAGAGGCAGAAGTAATTTTCAAGGAAGGATAGGGCTGCTTTTCAGTTAGGTTAGCTTTCTGAACCAGTTCATAGGGTCACAGATGCTTGTGTTACGGGAACCAGAGAGTTTGAAGATGAGGAAGGAAAGAGTGGTACTGCTATTATTTGTTTCTACAGCCATTGGCTGTTCTGTCAGTTTAGCAGTAACACGTAAAAGCACTTAGACGATTTTGTAAAAGTTACCAGGGCTCGCATATCTGTGCTCATGTGAATCCTGGGTGCCTTATTTCAAGCTGCTTTTCAGCAAAACAACTAGAAAATTACTTAGAAAATTGTCACTTACGATACCCAAAGTGGTAGTAATTTTCTTCAGGTTTCAGTATTACTGAAATGCTTGCACCAGTGCAGAAGTGCTTGCACCAGTGTACTGCACTTTTGCTGACAGAGGAATTAAAAACCCGTGCATGAGAAAAAAACAGAATATAGTTGTGAAATTTTGAAATTCTGAACCTAGTGGTTTCAAGTTCAGTTTTAGTAAATGGAGCTAAAAAACGTGTTTATGAGACTCCAAATGGATGCTTTGTGTACAAGCTACGTGGTCATTCCTAACAGGACTGGGTGTCATCGTGAGTTCACTGATTACTTTTGGGAGAATAAATGAAGAATTAGTGACAACCTAGTGGTTCTTATTGCTGCAGCAGGATGCATTAAAAATCATGCACACTTACCTGGGAGAAGGGGGGGATTCTTTGGAAATGAAAGCAGCAGCCTTCCGGGAGACAGGGTACCAGTCTGAATTACTTTTTTCGAGATTGGAAGGAAAAGAAAGCTTTATTTAGAAAAGGTGCCAGACAGGAGTTTTTTACAGCTATTACTGTGAACAATGCAAATAATAAAACTATGTAAGAGCATTGACTGACGCATGTTCCATCAGGCCCTGGCTCCACAGTAACCCCTGGGGTGCTCTCCACATAAAAGCATATGTGTTCTTTGGTACCGATCACAGCACACAGCCAGTCATCTCCCAAGTCCTCAACAGCCAAAGGTTAAAATGAAAGCTAACGCAGAATGAGTCTCACATCTCTTTCCCCCCTTCATGGAAACTTTCCACTTTGCATGTATTGTTTATCTACCTCTGCTTTGTTCTAGGATAGTACTTGTGGTGAGGTGGCCAAAATTAGCATGGTGAGGACTTGTCCAAGAGGAAAAGGGTGGGGAGAGGGAAAGCAGCAGACAGGAAAGAACTGTGTTCAGAGGTGCTGGGAAAGGATGATAAAAGCACAATTAACTTTGCTTAGAATTAAGAGAGCACGCATGAAAGCTGAAGGCTGCTATATACCTTTTAGTTTGTACGAAGATGTTGCTCTTGGACCGCTGTTATGCTCCCAATGTGGCACCTTTTAATGATGTGTAATTTGACTGTCTGAAAAAATTAAATGCAAATATCAAACAAATGCACAACACAGGCCTCAAGGGGAGTTTATGAAGGATCTACTCAAACAATGAGATTATTGCTTGCTGTTTCTAAAATTCTGGGGAGCTTATCAGTTGCAGGGTAAATGTGTTCAGTTTGATTATGGTGTACTGATGTGTTAGCTTGCAGTTTCCAGCAAAGCTAAACCAAAAGAAGGGAGTTAGGAGAGGCAAGGAATGCATGCCTTGCCAAATGGGAAGATGGGAGAGGCTAAAACTGGCATGTACTGTGTGGGAGTGCACTATCTGACAAACATCTGACCCCATTAGAAACACACACAGAGGAAAGCATACTGCCTCCTTACAGAGTGAGACTGGCTGGATCCAGAATTACTAGGACTCTTGTTCCAGAAAGTTTCTCCCTTGTTTCTCTGGTTTTTTGGGATGAAGATGATAATGGGTGTACTGAATTAGAAATATTTTGCCATTTCTCTTCACCCAGCCTATTTAATTCACTGCTATGCAGTGCTTGAATCTGTCTGAAAGCTAGCCATATAAAAATAAAAAACTTCAGCCAGGCTTATGCTGGCTAATAGGGCTGGCAGAGGGGTGGGAGCAGCATTAGCTCAAATTCAGGTAGGCTCATGTTGAAGTTACAAGCTCTGTTTGGGAATTTGCTTAATTGCTCTGTGGTATGCTTAGTTTTTGCAGATTCTGCATGGTCTAGAAAAGGGGTTTTTTGTGTTAGTATTTTGCTAGTTGGAAGCTGCTAGTTATCATGGTAGTTTCACCCTTGGTGTTGCAGTGAGACATGGCACTGCTTGCTAGTGCTGTTAAGCATGTTCAAGCAGAAATATCAGCTTTTTATGGGTAGGCCTTTGTTATAACTTTGTTCTCTGGATACTGTCTGAATGTGTTTATGCTTGTAAGGTTTCTAGGTGGGAGGTAAGGTCCTCATATCTTGTATTCTTTCTTTTTTTTTTTCAGAACTCTATTAGGCATAACCTGTCCCTGCACAGCAAGTTCATTAAAGTCCATAATGAAGCCACAGGGAAGAGTTCTTGGTGGATGCTCAATCCTGAGGGTGGTAAAAGTGGAAAAGCACCAAGAAGAAGAGCTGCCTCCATGGACAACAGCAGCAAACTTGCAAAAGTCAGAGGTAAAGCATCCAAAAAGAAGCCTCCTCTGCAGTCTGCTCCAGAATCCACTGCTGACAGTCCTGGCTCCCAATTCCCAAAGTGGCCTGGGAGCCCATCCTCAAGAAGCAATGAGGACTCTGACGTATGGAACACCTTCCGGCCTCGAACCAGTTCGAATGCAAGCACCATTAGTGCCAGGCTTTCTCCAATCCTGACGGAGCAGGATGATCTCCATGACGAAGAGCTACTTCCTTCTCTAGTGTACTCCAGTGCATCCAGCAATGTTCCACCAACAGTGACTGAGGAGCTTGAGCTCATCGATGGGTTAAATTTGATGTCTCCCAGCTCATCTGTGTTATCTACCCAGCAATCTGCCTTGAGTGGTCATATACAGAGAGATTCCAGCTTTTCCTTGCGGAGCCCAAATGCAGCTGGTCAGACCACTACTTTTGGCAATTCCCTGTTTAATCCTGTTGATATCTCACTGCAAAGTTCTGTCAGCCATTTTTCTGCCCCTCAGACCTTGGAAGCTCTTCTGACACCCAGCTCTCCACCTCCAAGGGATGTTATGATGACTCAGGTGGATCCAGTTCTGCCGCAAACTGGTAGCAGGATGAGCAGCCGAACTCTTCTGCTTCTAGGTGGACAGGCTGCCCAGAGTAAGATGAGCTCAGGCAATCCACGAGGAAAGCCTACAGAGCAGCAGGCAGAACCAGCTGGTGCCAGTGTTTTGCCATCAACACTTCCCATAGTAACATCTCCTCAAAACACTGCCAGCATCTCCAGTTTGAAAGCTCCAGTTCCTGCAACAACTGCCCAGCCGGTCCAGCTGGGTAGTTCACTGCTGCTTTCTTCTGCTAGCCCTCCTCCCTTGGGACTGAACCAGGACAGGCTGCCCATTGACCTGGACATTGACATGTACATGGAGAACCTTGAATGTGATATGGATTACATAATCAACAGTGAACTCATGGATGGAGAAGGACTAGACTTTAATTTTGAACCTGTTCTGTCTACTCCCAGCTATCCCAGCACCTCGCAGGCCTCCAACCATACCTGGGTACCAAGTTAACTTCAGGAGCACAAAAAGGTAGGTGTAGTTATGTAAAATGCTGCAGATCTATAGTGGGAACAGCCCTGTCTGGGATGGTTCCTGTGCCCAACTCCAGCAGTTAAAAATACCTCTTTGGAAGACAGGTTCTTTGAATAAAAAACTTCTGGGAGAGCTGCATTCCCTTTTAGAAGGAGAAAACATTCCCTTTTAGAAGGAGAAAAAGCTGTGTAAAGGTAGGTAGATTTAACTTACCAGGGAGTAAACTCCTTTATGGAGTAGAGCAGCAACATGAATGAGACTCCTTTTCTCTCTCATTACATAGATGACTGTGTTACAGGATGTTGATGTCTGCCATGCAATGCCTATAGCTCTGAAGTTGACATGAGAGCATCTGCTGACTCCATAAATAAAGACATGGTTCTATATATACAGAACAGTTGAACTGAGACAAGCACATGCTGTGTTTCTATCCAGGTTATTATTGTGCTTGCAAAAGTTTCCAGTTATCTGTAGTTGCAAAGTGTGTCTGTGTCATGACTGCCTGCCTGTGTGTAGCAGGACACAACCACTGGTGGTTATCAGACCTTCTGCCCTTCCATTGTCTAGGATAATGACCCAGTGGGAGACTGGGATAGTGTCCCAGCTTACCAGTGGTAAGCTGGTTCATCAGTATTAACTACTGAATTGTGTACATACCCATTATTGGAATGGAAAACAGGAGTATGCAGTGTGGATGGAGATGGAAGGAGGAAGGATGCATTGATGCTTTCGCACACACAGCAAACCTGCCTCTTCAGTGGTCTTTTGTATTTGCACAAAAATTTCTAGAGTCAGTTTGGCAAATAGTGTATATGAGAACAAGAGTTTAAAATATTCTCTGAGGGTGTGACCACCTGATGAAGCTCTTTAATCACTGAAGCAGCTGAAGAATTAGAGAAATGGAGCTGAAGGCATACTTCACACTTGGAGCTCAGTTAGCAAATGGAAAATGGACAGCTTCTTTTATGGACTGGAGCATAGGCTGGATATTGTTTGGAAAGTGGAAGCCATGCCAAGAATATTTCCTGTTTAGGATGCAGATATGGTATTAGTGTTGCAAATTCAACCCCTAATACTGGTCAGCTGAGCAGGCAGAAGTGAGGGCAAACTGGAGATACTGCTTCAGTTGTGGGTAGCCCTTGAGCTTCAAAATGATGAAGACTGAGCAAAATTATCATGTACTTGACCTTAATACTCTTTCCTAGGCACCTGATTAACCTGGAGGTAGTTTGAACCAGGTGACCTCTGGAGGCCCTAAACCTAAATTTTCTGGTGATTTCTGCTGCTGTTCATGCTGGAGACCAGATACTAAGTTAAATTTTTTCTGCTTTGCTTCTGTTACAGCCATTCTAGACAAATGTCTTGGGTTTAGACAAAGTGAAAAGCTGTCCTTTGAGCCAGTGTACTTAAATGTTGTGAACATATTTATACACCACTATATATCGACTTTTTAAACACAATTTAACTCCTTATTCCAAGTCCCACCACACTGCTTAGGATTTCTTTGATTAGTAAGATTCTTCTTGCCTGTACTTAACAGATCTCTTTACTGTAGAGAGAGGGAGGATCAGTCAAGTGATTGTTCTGAGCTTTTGTGTGGTGGTGGTTTTTTTTTTTTTCCATACCATGCTAAGGCAGGCGCTCATATTTGGGAAATACATTGACTTTGCAGCCATGAAATGTTTTTCACAGGAGTGTTTTCAAAACATATGCAAGCTGTCCTGCAGTCCTGGGTGCATTAATTACCTGGGCTGGATAGTCAAGGCACCTGTCTGCAGAAGACCAGGCATAGATTATTTTTTTTAAGAGTGTAAAGCAGAGAAGCTGAGGGAATGTTTATCAAAGGGTGGTAGGGTCTAGTACTGGTGAAGATGTGGCTATGATCAAATGCTTAAGAGGGAGAACATGAGCTTCTAACAGCAATGGTTATACTCTTGTTCCATGTTATTATTCCATACTTAGCATGTGAATTGCTTAATCAAAACAGAGGAGCTATCTGATGTTAAAAACCCTGGATTTGCTTTTTTCCATGTGTGAAGTTGAAGTGATGCTTTCTGGGAAATATGCCGGATGCATGCTCACTGAGAAAGGAGTGAGATCTGGAACAAGTTCTGAACTGGGACTGTATTTCAGCAGAAAGTGCAGCCTCTAAACACCTCTCAGCAAACAACTGCTAACAGCAGTATGCACTTGGAGAAGTGACACCCTGTTCAGTGTGCTTTGTTTCAAGCCTTTTCTTCTGTCCTTGAATTTTTTTCTGAGTTTTGCAAAGCTTTTTCAGTTTTGGACACATACATGGAATGAGATGAAGGGGAGCTTTTTCCCCAAAAGAGGGCAAATATTGTGTAAAACACTGCCAAGACAGAGGTGTGTCAGGATTCTAAGGAAGGGGGAACAGTGCACATGGAGAGAAATAAGAATGTTCCTGGAGGCCAGGAAGGACCCTGGGAAAAAAAGGCAGAATGTTTTCTCAAATTTACAAGTTACAAAACCAAGTGAGCTGCAGACATCATTGTCTGAGGAGGTAAAGATTGTGTGATTTCTCCCTTCTCCGATTCTGTTACTGCAGTGAAATATTAGGGTCCCTGTTTGGAAATCACCTTTCAGGGAAAGCATGTCTGCCACTATATATTGTTCCAGTGTGCCAGGCTTCTTTCCTTTCATATCCTTTCTATGAATGTGGTTTTCTGTGTTAAATTCACATTGGCAAAACATACTCTAAGTGATTGCTAACCTAAAACTGTAATTCTGAGTAGTTACTGTGGGCTTAACCTGTAGCCTTCCGGGTCAGTTATGTGTATAATGCCAAGCAAAAACTGTTCATCAATAAATGCCAGTGATCACACTCTGTGATCTGAACAGCCAGAATGAAACTGGAGCTGGGGAAATATTTATTTTTTTGTAGGCAAGAGAAGATCTTTAGGAATAAGTACTTAGTCTCTTTATAGCACTTGGGAAGACACATGCTAGTTGATGTTACCTTTGGTGCTCAAAGCTGACACAACCTTATCCCCTTCTTGAAAGGTAAATGCTGGAGAGCTTGTCCACAGCTTCACCAGGAGTCTGGTTGAACCCTGTGTCTCTTTACTTGAAGATTAGAGATCAAACATTGAAACTTTCCCTCTGCCCAGCAGTGATGCAACACCCCAAACCTAGGTATTAGCCACAGAGGAAGAAAATAAGCATGTGGATCCTTTCTTTGACTAGGAGAAATATAAATTCTACAGTTTCTGCTGCTGTTGTCTGGTAGCTGTGGCTCACTTAGTTGTAAGCCTGCCATGCACTGGTTAAGGCACTGGATGTGCAAGCTCTACAGAGTGACTTAGGGAAGCCTTAGTGAGTAAGGTCATGGAAAAGGGGTAGCCACAGCTGGCATTAAACTGGGCATGCAGGTACTTTATCATGGGCAACCATTCTTGCCTTCAGCACTTAATGCAAGTGCCCTCTGTTCCGGTTGTGGGAAGTGTGGGTGGCCACCTGGCTGTCTCTGAGCAGCTCAGGGACTTCGGGCTTACTCAGCTTACTCTGTTAACATATTTCTGCAAGCCAGTAGGAGGAATACCTGGGAACAGAATTGCTGCTTTTGTACAGTGGTACAGTTTTGCGCCTCACCTATGAGTGTAAAGTCTATCCACTCTTCTGGTGGCTGTTAGTTGTTCAGTTAGACTCCCTGTAGCTTCATAGCCTGGAGAACTCTTTATCAGTTGCCCAGCTTGATCTGGAACCATGGTTTTCTTGCTGTGCTCTAATTCCCTTTGGTCCAAACACTATATTTGTGTCTACCAGAACATTAATAAATAAATAAAACCCCTATCAACTTGCAGTTTCCCAAAGTAACCTGTTGTTCTGGTTTCTGTTTTAAGTTACTGCTTTTTCTTGTTCTAGGCTGATTCCCTCTTGTAGCTTCTTTCCCTTTCCACAAGTTTTTAATGCATATTTTATTTACTGAATGCAACTGATTGGATGTCCGACATGTATCTCACTGTTCTGCCTTCCAAAGTGAATCATAGAACTATGGTGGACATTTTGTGTCAGTGTCTTAAGTCTGCTTAGACCTATTCCAAGGCTTGTTTGAACAAGTTGTGGCAGCTTTGTTGAGGTGAGGCAGAAGACCTGAGAAGGGATCTTTAAACTTGCAGGGGAGTGAGATATCTAAAATGTTTAATTATTTGTAGGTAGATACAGAATTTAAGTAGGTGAGCATAAACAGTTTTAGTGTGTGATCTCTAAAAATCTTTTTTAGTCTTTTCCCTACCAACTTGCTGCTTTCCTGCAATGCCTCTGGTATTAGCCAAGTCCTTCTTTAAACCTCCTTATCTTGCAGAGCTTTGTTGGTGCCATCATATTACAGGAGTGCTTACTTTTGAACTTTGTGCTTTTGTTTTGTCTTTCTGTCTTAATCATGCTCTGAAGCTTGGAGCTGAGCAGTTGCATCCTCCACTTGACTGCCATTGATCAAGGTCTCTTGTGATCTGTGTTTCTTCCTTGCTGGAAGTTGGCATCCTTTGAGCAGCAGGGGCTGATTGATAGTAATTAACGCCTTATCTATGTATCCAGGATTCCCACTGAAGCTGAGATCTAACTGTTCACTCTATTTTTCTTCTTCCTAGTGTCCTTCAGCTTTTGAACATTGGGTTCTGACTTCACTTTCCACCCCGGCACAGAAAAGAACAGAGCACGTTGGATTCGGTTTTGCTGCACGCCACACCTTGGGCAGAAGGGGCTGCCCACTTGGGAAGAAGGGGCAACCCGCATCTGGCTGCAACAGGAAGAGTTTAAAAATAATCATCCTGGTATGTGCCATGGCTCTTCCTGCAAACCTGACCCTGCCTTGGACCATCTGGAGAAACCCTGGGCTGTACGTGTCCAAAGAGGAGCCCTGGTAAAGACTTGGCCAGAAGACACTGTGCCTGGCAATAGCGTTGTCCCATGTGAAGAGCTGGGTTTGCTGGAGGAATCTCTCAATGGCTATCCTCTCT